CATGGTGTTGGTAGATAGCATCCAGCCGTAAACTGAATATACAACGTACCTATTACAGTAGTGTGTAGCCACAGTTTAAAGAATACGTGTAGCTGTCAAAATTTTTGTTTCCATCCAAACCAAACCAAACCAAACGAAAAAAACTTAGGTACTACTACAACGAAATCATAGTACCGAAATAAATTTTTAGGTACTCGTACAATTTTTTCGACACGATGATCTATTTAGATGAAAAAACTTTAGGTACTTCTGTATATGTATAACCATATGCGAAAATATCAAAATTGACATATTATGATATAAACATTATTGAGGAAGCATCCACACTATCCTAAAAAACGGCAGTTGGCGTAACGGCGTAACGATTTGGAATAGATTTCCAGTAATTCTATTGGCTGAAAAATTCATCTGTCATAAATTTTATTTGTCAAATTCATCTGTCAAAAATTTCAGAATAGAATTACTCGAGTCGATAGGGTGTTGCCACACTATCTCAGGTCGGCGTATTGGCGGCGTAATGACCTTGAATAGATTTCCAGTAATTTATTGGCTTAAAAATTCATCTGTCAGAAATTTTATATGTCAAATTCATCTGTCAAATATTTCAGCCAATAGAATTATTGAAATCCATTCAAGGTCATTACGCCGTTACGCCGATACGCCGTTTCTAGGATAGTGTGGCTGCACCTCAAGGTCGTCACGCCGTTACGTCGTTTTTAAGATAGTGTGGATGCACCCTCAGAGTGTAATTTATATCGAATAATGTCTAAACACAAATACGACGACCGATTTAAACGAAACAATTTTTAGGTACTACTACAACGAAATCATAGTACCGAAATAAATTTCTAGGTACTCGTACAATTCTTTTGATACGACGATCTGTTTTCTGGAGGCAAAAACATTTTTAGGTACTTTCTACGTAAATTTCTAGGTACTCGTACAATTTTTGACCCATCGATCGATTTAGATGAAAAAAAATTTTAGGTACTTCTGTAACGAAATTATAGCACGAAATAAATTTTTAGGTAGGTACTCCTACAATTTCTTGACACGGTGATCGATTTAGATGAAAAAAACTTTAGATAGTCGTACAATTTTTTGACACGACGATCGATTCTGACGATTGTCATTTCATAGGTAATTTGACGCCGTTTTTTGGAATCATATATATGCCATGTGTATACTTATCTAATAAGTAAAGTATATTCATTTAGAATATTAAGAGATTCAGACGAAAAATATCAAAATAGGTAGTAAGTATTCTTTAAGATTGTTTCTACAAGTTTTATTTAAAAATTGTAACAGAGAACTATTATTTTTATAGTGCCCCTCTCGGACCGCTTGGACGAGTCCATTATAAAAAAGATCGAGGGACAGTAGGTAGAAAAAACATATGATTTGATTTGTCACGGAAACGTAAAGTTTAATAAAAGTGTTTTGTTGAAATTCTTCGAGTTTTATCATAAAGTTTATGGTTCGACACCTACCAAAATAATTATAACGAATCCCGTCACAAAATATAAATAATTTAAAGTCTAATCTGGCGAGTTGAGTTTGGATGAAACTGTAAACAAAATGTTTAAAAGTGTAATGTAATCATTTAAATTTAAATAAAATTCATATAGCAGTAAAGTAGTAAAAAAAGTGTAGGTTTAAAAGCATGAACTTTTGGGAATTCCCTATTTTTATAGTCTGGGAACCACCTATTTTTTCTGGGAAACATACTTTCAAGTTCAAGTTATTAGAATTGTGATTAAAAGAAAGCACTATTCTCATTCATATTGCGATTAATGAATATTAATATTAATAATATTATACTACCATATATTACTCAAATTAAGTTTTCGAATACATAGTAAGTAAACATAAATAGAAGATAGAACATATTATAGAGATGCAACCATAGAACGTATTTGTTATATTTATATGGTGTTGGTAGATAGCATCCAACCGTAAACTGAATATACAACGTATTACTGTAGCAATCAACATTTTTGTTACACTAAAATTACTATTTTAGATCTTAGTGAACGTAGTAATGTAATAAAATCAATTATTGTACTGATTAACTACCATATAATCGAAAAAAAAAACGGCGTCAGCGGTGGCATGAAATGAAGATTGCTGTCATTTTATACCGGGTGCGTCTCAAAAGTGGCTCACCGCTATAACTTTTTAATTTTTTTTAGATAAAAAAACGAGATTTGGTATGTAAGTATATGACATAAATTAGGAATTATTGACGTATTCAATTGTTTTTGGTCACTTCCTGTTTCACCGGAAATGACTACAACTTTTGATTTTTAAATGACACCCCCGGTATGTTTTTGCATTATTTGATAGAAAATGACACTCTGAATCGAATGACATATCATATGTCAACTTTGACATTCTCGCTTTAAAAAAATGTATTTTAAATTTCAATCTAGAGTGCCATGGCTGTGTTAAAACACTAATTTTTTAATCAAGGAGCCTTGGAAAATAGATTTGATAATCTAATGATTTTCGTGTCTTGTCCGGGCCCGTTCTTATAAGATGCCCAAATCGTATTTTTAATCATATCTCAATTTTTCCAAACGGAACAAGGGAGGCTCGTTAGCATATTTGGAAAAGCATTTTTTACGAATAATTTGGTACCACATACATGGTATTTCGAGTCAAATTGTCATTATGAACCGCATGTTACAATTTCAAATAAACCATATGCGAAAATGTAAAAAAATTGACATATTATGATATGTCATTCTCTTGAGGGTGCATCCACACTATCCTAAAAACGACGTATCGGCGTAACGGCGTAACGGCCTTGAATAGATTTCCAGTAATTCTATTGGCGGATGCGTCTCAAAAGTGGTCCACCGCTATATCTTTCTTATTTATTTTTTTTTGGATAAAAAAACGAGATTTGGTATGTTAGTATATGACATAAATTGGAATTGATTGACGTATTCAATTGTTTTTGGTCACTTCCAGTTTCACAGGAAATGACTACAACTTTTGATTATTAAATGACACCCCCGGTATGTTTTTACATTATTCGATAGAAAATGACACTCTGAATAGAATAATATATCATATGTCAACTTTTGACATTTTCGCTTAATAGTATTTTAAATTTCTATCTATTATAGAGTGCCATGGATGTGTTAAAAACACTAATTTTTAATCAAGGAGCTTTGGAAAAATAGATTTGATAGTCTAATGATTTTCGTGTCTTGTCCGGGCCCGTTATAAGATATCAAAATCGAATTTTTAATCATATCTCAAACGGAACAAAGGTGGCTCGTTAGCATATTTGGAAAAAGCATTTTCTACGAATAATTTGGTATCACAATTTGGTACTCGAGTCAAATTGTCATTATGAACCGCATGTTACAAATAAATCATATGTGAAAATGTCAAAAATTAACATATTTATGATATGCCATTCTATTCAGTGTGATTTTCTATCGAATAATGTAAAAATATACCGGGGGTGCCATTTAAAAATCAAAAGTTGTAGTCATTTCCGGAAAAACAATTGAATACGTCAATCAATCCTAATTTATGTTATATACTAACATACCAAAATCTTTTTTATCTGACAAAATAAAAAAAGTTGTAGGGGTGAGCTACTTTTGAGACGCACCCGGTATACGACTATCGATTTAAATGAAAATAATTTTTAAATACTTCTACAACGAAGTCATAGTATCGAAATAAATTTCTAGGTACTCGTACATTTTTTTGACACGACGATCGATTTAGACGAAAAAATTTTAGGTACTACTACAGCGAAATCACAGCATCGAAATAATTTTGTAATTACTCCTACAATTCTTTGACACGACGAGACGATCGCTGATCGATTTAGATGAAAAAAAAATTAGGTACTTCTACAACGAAATCATAGCATCGAAGTAAATTTGTAGGTACTTGTACAATTTTTGACCCGCCGATCGAAATAATGTTGTTTCTAGTATTTATTAGCCGAACGACCGGTTTCGACAATGAAAGTTTAGTTACTTCTACAAATCTGGTGATGACAGCAATTGAAAAAAAAGATTAGACCGTAAATTATTGATATTTTTAAATGAAACTAGTAGGAATAATTTTAAAAGAATACTTATTTTCATTTTTTTCGTCTGAATTTCTTAATATTCTAATTAGAATATGAGCATTTTGTTTTCTACCAAATATAACACGGCTATATCTTCGTTTCCCTTTAATAGTTAGCTTTACCGTGTTGCCGGTTCTTGGGTCTGAATACATCGATTCAACGTAAATCGGCTTATACACTTATACTAATGTCGAAGGTGGCGCCGCCCGTGACAATACCGGTGTACCCCAATCGTATATAAAAACATAAAACCATTTTTTTCAGGCCCAGCTGAAATTTGGTCAGGGGAAGTGGGGAAACCGTTCTAGACGATAACCACTGAATCGTACTCAGACCCGACCCCGGGCCTGAAATGTCGAATCGGGTCTGAGCCCAATGAAGCAACGTAGTTTTTGGGCTCGTATAAGCGGTTTAATAAATCTATATATATATATATATATATATATATATATATATATATATATATATATATATATATATATATATATATATATATATTAGAATATATTAGATGAATAAAATAGTGTTTAAATATTAGATATATATATATATATATATATATATATATATATATATATATATATATATATATATATATATATATATATATATATATATATATATATATATATATATATATATATATATATATATATATATATATATATATATATATATATATATATATATATATATATATATATATATATATATGTATTAGGGTGTATATATATATATATATATATATATATATATACAGGCATTAGCGCAAAACTGAAAGAAATTAAGTGGCCAGATATGAGTGAGAGAAGACGATTACATAGTATAGTCCTTTATAATAAAATCATCTTTAAAAAACAACCTGAATACTTGTACCCTTGATTATGTATTAATAGATGTACAATGAGGGCTTAGTACAAGCCCGTCTTCTAGGTGGCGCCTTGCCCGTTCTGAATTTTTGTATTCCCCTACGATTTTCTTTGAGGGGAATCCGTTAAACCCGCCCATCGTTCAAAAATGGAAGGGCGCGAGGTCACATCTATTGGGCCACTTATTAGCACGTTTCACCCATGTTTTACGAAAATAGCTTTATCCTTGTTTGTTTCAACTGTGACAAGAAAAAAGGAAAAAAAGTTATATTCGCTTCTAAATTCGGCAGTTTTGTTGATCTTTCTCGACTTGTAATTTCGTTTCGTTTAGGTTATGTCTTATAAAAATAAATATTTATAAGCTTTTGAATTGAAATATACCTTAATGCATATCTGAGTAATTAAAAAATTCAGTTTTTTCGTCCCTCGCGAAGAAACATAAACAGTATTTGTGAAATTTGGATTAGAAACTATTATTTTATTAGTTTATTTTGTTGTGTTTAAGTGTTGTGTATTTGTACCTACTGGATAATATTTTCCAACATATTTAATTAAGCAAAAAGCATCTGTTTTACAGGTAAGTAAATACTGTTCATATTTATTTCTAAATTCATATAAATTTGTTTTAAATCACTCTTGGGAAAAATGTTATAGAGTCTGAGATAAGTTTAATAATAAACATTTGATAGATTGATAGATAGATTAAACGATAATGCCCAGTTTGCTTAAAAGTTTAAAAAAATACTGATTTTATGCTATAAATTGTTTCATTTCTCACTTTGCTTTTTTGGAATTGTCAGATATATTGTGTATTTTATAATTTTTCCGAGAATTTTTCTTAATAACTTGATAACGTAAAATATTTTTTATCTACAGTCAACCCTGTGTTTAGATAAAGCTTCATATCAGATTTCCTATTTTATATTTTCACTCAAATCATATTTTTTGTAAAATATGCTTGCAAAAGTAGCGTAAATTTGACAGGGAGGTATTTTTATAGATATACAGGATGATTCAAATATATATTTACTTTTAAAGTTATTAGTTATGAGCAAAGGTTATGAGTTTGTGAAAAGAAAGGCTATATTTTGTATTTTTGCTTGGTGGATTTGTTATTAAATTGTCATTCCAAAAAATACCATAATGTCGTAGTCGTATAGAGTTCATTTTGACCAAAGAATATATTTTGACCCTTTTTGGATTGAATTTTATTGTTTATATAATAAAATATATATTTAAAGCCCTCTCTTTCTAAGTTAAGTTAAAAATAGGTAATATCGACGTTTTTTACTGGAACTAATTTAAGTTAATAATTAATAATTATATAATTCATATAATAATATTAAAATAGACTAAATTGTTTATTATATACAGGATGAGTCAAAACTAGATATTATATTTTTCTTTGCTATTTCAAATGAAACACTGTATTTTATATCATAAATCAACAAAGCTTTTATGCAACTTTTGTTTTATTAAGATCTATATCCCAAATTAATAGTTATTAAATTGTTTTCAATTGTCTCTTTGCGAATAAACATGATTTGTTTTACGCAATTTTTATTAGTAGGTTTGTCGTCAAAAGTGATGTATCTATTTATCAGCGACAAAAATTAAGAATTAGATGTCTAAAATAATTTCCTAATTATTTTTTTACTTGGCATCAGTAAATATGATTTATTTTATCGATGCAGCTGAAAATAATTATCTATTCTAAAAGAGGACATTGCTGTATAAACATCGATTATGGATTTAAAAATTATTTTTCAAAACAAAGTTGGACAAAATTTTTGGAGAAAAAATTGGACTTCTGTTCGAAATAATTGAGAAAAACCCAACATCTAGTTTTGACGCCCCCAGTATATATCGTGCATTATAGTTGATTATACTGCAATTTATTATACACACGTAGTTTTGTTTGGTGAAAATGAAACTTTCTAAAAGTATTCCCAATTAAAACATATTAAGAATTTCCTACATTATAATTTTGAAAGACGTTTGAGTGGGCAGACAATTTGGTCTAAAATAATCATATGTCTAAAAAAATTAGTCTAAAATAATCAAAAACCACTTAACACATATAACTCGCTTTTAAAAAATCTAAAAGAAATAAGTTTGTTTATTATATTCATATTTTATTAAATTATTATAGGTGTGACTGCTAAGTGGTCGTACTCGCCACTTTAACCAAGCATTGGTGGGACCTTCAGAGATCATAATGCGAATTTCTTCATACCATGTAAATCTATATACATGTATTAATAAATGCGTTTGCTTTATTAAATTTTTTTTTCTTATACGGTATGAGCGAAAAAAAACGGCGTCTATTTGTTTACGTACAAATGACATCGATATTCATTTCCAAACCACCTCTGAGGCCGTTTTTTTTTTATCGTATGGTATATATTTACATATCCCTTATCCTTTAATTCCGATTTATTTCTAATAATTATAAAAATAAGATACCTGATTAATTCTTCCGAAATATTATAAAATGAGATATCACGAAAGAAATAAAGTTAATTATCTCGTTTGTTTTGGGAATTCCAAAAAAATAAAAAAAAGGGTATAGAGAATCTTTAGAGACACAGTTCAAATGTTATTTTTGAGTATACTGGTTGCTTCAAAAAATGTGGCGGATACATGTTTTTAATGCAAAACTCCATTTTTATTTTATTTTCGATTCTGCCTGTAAATTCTATAACTTTTTTTATAAATAACGTTAGTAAGTATTTACAATTTAAAAAAAAAAGTAAAATTTTATTCCTATGTTACTTAACTGTCAGTTGTTTCCGAAGTTGGACTACACAAATTTGGTAGGAGTGTTTTACAGAGATGAAAAAATATATTTATATGTAAAAATACTTGCAGTTAGATGCTACACTGTGTTCAAACATTTTTTTGGCTGATCCGATATATATATTATTATTTTTTCTAGTGATTTTACAAAACCTTTCAACATTTGTTAAGAAAGTATATTAAGTACACCTATACTCAACAGTAGCTTGCAATCTGTTCTGAATTTTATCCTTCTTTTAATTCATTTACATTATAACAAGTTGCCATATGACAAAACAAAAATTATTTATTATTAAACATTAAGTAAAGTGATTTATTTAGTTATATGACATTCTTAATAGAAGTTGAAGGATTTTGTAAAATCTATCAGAAAGAATTATAATATATCGGGTGTTTTTCAAAAGTAGCTTGATTGATGTATTCAATTAGTTTCGGTCATTTCTTGTTTCACCGGAAATGACTACAACTTTTGGTTTTTAAATGGTACCGTCGGTATTTTTTTACTTTATTTTGCAGAATATGGCATTCTCAATAGAATAATTCAATGTCAACTTTTGACTCTTATAAGGCGGGTTCTCACTTGTCAGTTTCGCCGACGCAGTCTGACTGATTCAGTGATACTGAACAAACAATGAACGTCAGAACACATTTTCATGTTAAATGATCAGTACATTCGTACTTTCAGTTAAAGTGAAAACCAGTTCTACTTTTTTTCATTTTGACTGATCATTATCGAATAATGAATAGAAACTGAAGCGTGAGAACTACATTTTCGTGATTTGTGCAGTTTACAAGTTAAGTTAATTAATTCTTTTAATATAGTTTCACTAGCACCCCGTTTATTTCTTCGCAATATCCAGGACCTGACCACCTACGACGTTTTTTTTTCTTTCTGATTCACCAGAATATTCTGTAATTCATTTGCTAATTGTAAACAAACTTCGCGAACACCTGGTTTCAATTTTGTTTTAACCATTTTCATGTCCATACGAAATCACCACATTAGAATGTTTGGACCAACTGAATACTGAATGTAGCAAAACATGAAACGTGTGAATACAATCGTTGTTTTTTATTTTTCATTGATAATGAATCAGTCAGACTGCGTCAGCGAAACTGACAAGTGAGAACCCGCCTTTACTTAAAAAATAGTATTTTAAAGTTCAATCTAGTAGAGTGCCATGATAATAAACAACATGTAACCGGTCGTAAAGATAACGACAGTTTGACTCGACATACGGAGTGTGTGGTACCAAATTATTTACCAAAATTAGGTACCAAAATTTATTAGGTATCAAAAAATGCTTTTCCAAATATGCTAATGAGCCACTCTCGTTTCATTAAAAAATTGAGTTATGATTAAAATACGAAATGGGCATATTTCAACTGACCAGGAAAAGACACAAAAATATTAGACGACCAAATCAATTTTTCCAAAGCTCCTTGATTAATCCTTAATTAAAAAATAATGGTTTTAACACAGCCATGACACTAGATTGAATTTTAAAATGCTATTTTTGATTTAATTGAAAATGTCAAAAGTTGACATATGATTGTTGATGTCAAAAGTTGTCATTCTATTCAGAATGTCATTTTCTATCAAATAAAGTACCGTATGATCGAATAAAAACGGCGTCAGCAATGGCTATGAAATGAAAAGCGCTGTCATTTTATATGTAAATTTATATGAGAAATGTCATCGATGTTCATTTCATAGCCATCGCTGACGCCGTTTTTATTCGATCTTACGGTATAAAAAATACCGAGGGTACCATTTAAAAATCAAATGTATACATTTCCGGTGAAACAGGAAGTGACCGAAACTAACTGAATACGAATCAATCTCGATTTATGTCATATACCTACTAACATTCCCAATTTAGTTTTTTTTCGGAATCTGAAAAATAAAAAGTTATAGAGGTGAACCACTTTAAAAAAAAACACTCAGTATAGGCTGTGTCATTGAAAGAGTCTGCAGATATTTTTTTAATTTTAAATACGTAGAATTAACCATTAATATATGTTGAACACCCTGTAGCATCTGCCTTAAATATCTACATAGTATCTAATATTTTTTCTTCATCAACAAATTGAAATATTAGAAAACTAGTTTTAGGTTACACCATTATACAAGGATTATACATAAAAAAGTAATAATTTTACGCAGGATCTAAAATAAAATAGGATGTTACATTTAAAAAAAAACATTATGTTAAATCCGTCATACTTTTTACAAAGTTACAGAGGTAGGTAGGTATAGTTTCATATATTTTTTTTAATTATCCATCTAGAAATAAAATATATACATATATACCTAATATAATAATTTAGTATTTAACAAGGGGCCATGAAAATCAAAATAAATATAAATCCATATCCAAAAATAAAAAATGTAAATAACGCTTAGAGGTAAAAATTCGGTTCAAAGCAGATAAGATATTTTATTCTTTACCGAGAATTAAATTCGAAGAATTCCTAGTCCCTACTTCTTTGCCAAATTCAATAGTCTCCGCCCCCTTTTTACGTTTTAATTTCTGCCACCAGTTGGCAGCATCGACTTATACAGGCACATTGACTAACTATTAATATATAAACAAGGCTTGTACCAAAAAATAAAATTTAGATTTGAGGCGCACAATCTAGATCTCCGGCATAAATTCTTGTTAACACCGCCTAAGCATAAAACGACCCTTTTTGGAAGGCCATTTAGCTATAACAGCAGCTCTCTACAATGATGTCCCTATCAATTTAAAAAGTGCCCCGCCTGAAAAGTTCAGATTGGAAGCTAAAAGACTGATAATAAGCCACGTTTCTTGATAAGTACATTATATTACATATCTATATTTTTTATTATTTTTTTTTTTGGTTGGTGCTTGTTGGATGTAAGAAGGATGTAAGCGGTTTAATAGTAAACTTTAAGATAGACTGTTTTCTTTTTTTTTTGTAATTGAATTTATTGTAGCTCTTTTTTTTGGAAAAAGTAGCAGGGTTTCTTTCTCTATGAATTTATAGGATTGAATATGCATTGTATATTATATGTTTTTTTTGTAAATGTATAGGTTAAGATAGGAAGCAATGCTTCAACTTCTGCCTTTTGTAATATTTATGGATTACAATAAAGACTATTTATTATTATTATTATTATTATTATATATATATATATATATATATATATATATAGCATATATATATATATATATATATATATATATATATATATATATATATATATATATATATATATATATATATATATATATATATATATATATATATATATATATATATATATATATATATATATATATATATATATATATATATATATATATATATATATATATATATATATATATATATATATATATATATATATATATATATATGGAGCTATAGGAGCCACAATCCTCTATTAATGCAGGTAAATAAGTCATCGGACGATGATTGATCATTACATCAGACAATCTCACGCATATTTGCATGTAGTATGATTTTCAAACCGATTCATTTTTAAAACAAAGAATTTTGTTGGTTTTTCAAGCTGCACAATATTTTTTATTACAACAAAACGCGAGTTTTTCTGATGTTTTGAACTATCAAAATGCGATGATCACAGCCATTTATGATTGACGCTTGCTGACGCTGCGCGCTGGATATGAATTCCAATACCAATAAAGCGTTTATGAAGTTAATAAAAATGCAAAAAAGCAATTTTCTACCACTTGTAGTTGCTCAAAACTTATGTAACATTAAAGAATATATTGTGTTGTGTGTCTTGAGATGGCTTTTCGTGCAACTACAACGAGTAGAAGTCAACAATTTAAAGGTCTAAATTGCTGCCAAAACTGTGACGCGCTGTAAATCTGTTCATGCAGCGTTCCGAAAAAACTTTTAAATTATGATTTTCTACCACTTGTAGTAAGCCCAAGTAACTTTAAAATGAAAGAATATAATATTTTAGGTCCTAAAACGGCACTTTTGAGCTACTACAATCAGTTGAAATCAACAGTTTATAGGCTAAGAATCCATTGGTGAGACAAACTGAATCTGAAAAATCGACCAAAAATCGAAAAATACATTTTAATTATTTGATTTTCGAACACAATTTGGTGTGGAATTTTCTTGCCGAATACCACTCGAGGTCAAATTAAATCCGGAAATTGTTTGACCTCTAGTGGTACCTATTACTAGTGAAAATAATCTAATAGAAAAAAGCTTAAGAATTAGATGGAACAGAATAGCCAATAAATAGCTAGAGCTCCCAAAAAATGCGATTTGTACAGTAAAAACTATTAACGTTGATTGAAGAAATAAAGTATTATATAATTACATACAATCCAATACACATTATAAAATTTTGATAGAAAGAGTTGTTTCTTTGGTCAGGTAAGGCTAAATAAAGTATATTGTATTTGTTTACTATGTATTTTAGGTAATACCTTCGGGTTAATGTTTAATAATATATTCTGTTGTTTCTGAAACACGTATTGTGGGTAATATGGGATATTTCATATTACACGACAGATGACTATTTCATATCGCCCGACCATAATCACTCAAGAGTGAATAGTTGGTTAGGTTAGGATATTTTTAATAGAATTATTTTCAAAGCTTAAAGTTGGGGGTTGGAACCTTTGGTTTTACAACAGCAAAATAAAACACTAATTTACCAGAATACAACAAAACACATTACTTTTAATAATGGACGCACGTTTCGCAATCCATTTCAGCATCATCAGGAGATGATTAAAACTAAAGTATTTTCTACAATTTGAGCATTTATATAGGCACTCTGTTGGTACTGACCAAGCGTGACAAAATCAGCCAAGCTAGTCCAAAGCTCTCTCTCTCTCTCTCTCTCTCTCTCTCTCTCTCTCTCTCTCTCTCTCTCTCTATCTTTATTCCTACAAGAGGAATGTAGTGGTCAGGTGATGTGTGAGGTTTGTCTCCATAATTCCCTGTCTTGTGCTTCATGTACAAGCGTGTGCAGTGGCTTGTGGGTGATCTTTGGTCTATCCATCGGGAGGGCGAGCGGCCTCTTGGTCTTCTTCCCGGAACCTTGCCCTGTATAATGAGTTTTTCCATACAGTCAGTATCCCTCCTCATAACGTAACCGAAATATTTAAGTATACGTGACTGTATAGAAGTTGAGAGGCGTTGAGTGATGTTCAGTTTTTCGATTATGGATTCATTGGTTCGCCGGGCAGTCCAGGGAATTCTGAGCATTCATCGCCAACAGTACATCTCAGCTGCGTCAATTTTTTTCATTTCTGACTGTCTCATCGTCCAGGACTCGGAGCCATACATTAATATAGGAAATATTAGGCAGTGAACAAGCCTTTTTTTTTAAGTGTTTAGATATGTTTTTGTCTCGCCATATCTTTGAGAGTTTTCGCACTGCCACTCTTGTCATTTCACATCTTCTTCTTATTTCGCCTTCTAACGATCCCGTGTTGTTTATAAGTGACCCAAGATATATATATTGACTTACAACCTCAAAACGACCAATGCTCACTACATCAGGTTTGTTGTTGTTTTACCTGTCGATAATCATAATTTTTGTTTTAGAGGGATTAATTTCAAGTCCAAGTTTCTCGCTTTCGTCTTCAACCAATTTTAGAAGCTGCAGTAACTCTTCTTCGTTTCCTGCTAGAAGGACCGTATCGTCTGCAAATCTGAGGTTGGTAATTTTGTGACCATTAATTGTTGTCCCCCCTTGCCAATGTTCCAATGCCTTTCTCATGAGATATTCAGTATATATACTGAATAACTGAGGAGATAGTATGCACCCCTGCCTAACACCACAGGTAGGCTGGAAATTTTCCGAAGTAACGCCATTGATGGTAATTCTACTTTTGGTATTTACCGAGGTATTTACATAGAGATTCTGGATCAATGAAATCAAATGAAGAGGCACGCCCATTTCTTTAAGAACCATCCATAGTTTTGACCATTTGACTTTGTCAAAAGCTTTTCGATAGTCTATGAAAGAAATATAGAGCGGATTGTTAAATTCTCGGGCCTTTTCGATAATCTGGACATTCAAAATTTGTTCACATGTTCCTCGACCTCCTGTGAATCCTGCTTGCTGTGGAGGGATTTGTGGTTCAATATACGGTTCATCATATACCTTTCGTTAATGATATGAAGAAGAATCTTACTGGCATGTGAAATTAGCGCAATAGTACGAAAGTTGTCGCATTTGGCTGGAGATCCTTTTTTGTGGATGGTTATTATGGAACAATCAGTCCAATCTCATGGTCATTGGTGAGTATACCATATCATATTACATAACTTGTGCAAGATGTCCACACCAAAATCTCCCGACGCTTGGAGCATTTCGGCCGTGATGTGATCTGGTCCCGGGGCTTTATGATGTTTTAGGTTTTTTATTGCTGCTTTAATTTCCGATTTCAGTATGTCTGATTCTTCATTAATTATATCACTGTGGAAAGAGCAGCTAGGCTGAGGATCTTTTTCTTTATACAGTGTTCCGCAGTATGTTCGCCATCGTTCCACTATTTCGTTAATTTCGGTTTTAAGTTGTCCTCGTTCGTCTTCTATTGCCCATGTTTTTGGCTTGAATTCTCTTGTGAGGTACTGTATCTTTTTAAATAGGTCCCCTGGTTGATTTATGAAAGCGTGAGATTCTATTTCCTGGCATGTTTTTTTATAGTAGTTGTTCTTGTCGATGGTACAACTGTGTTTGATCTCTGTATTTATTTTTCTATATTTATCTTTCTCATCTTGTGTTTTTATACCACTTTGCACTAATGTTCGACTTTGTTCAATTTTTAGCAATGTGCTGTCAGAAATCTAATGTTTGTTTTTTGTCTTTTGTTTAATTGTCGAGAAGTGGCATTACTCAGACAATTTTTAAAGTCTATCCAAATCTGTTGGGGTTGGGTGTTCTCGTTAATGTTCCACAATGTTTTCAGTAGTTCTTGTTGGAAATGTGTTACGTTGGGGATCTCCATCTGATTTGGTCTTGGTTTTCTTACAACATTTTTTAACTTTATACGAATCTTTGCTGCCAGTAACTTATGATCCAAGCCACATATTGCTCCGGGGTAAGTCCGTACTGTCCTGAATGAGGTTCTCCATCTCGAGTTAGAGAGAATATAATCTATCTGGTTGCGTACTCTGTCTCCTGGACTAGTCCATGTGTAGAGCCTTCGGATATGATGTTGAAATGTTGTGTTCATTATAGTTAGATTGTTTTCGATTGCAAAGTCAAGTAAGCGTTCACCCCGTTCATTTCTTACACCGATACCATATTTGCCAACGATAGTTTTAAAAAGTTAGTTAGTTAGTTAGTTAGTTAGTCCAAAGTTATCTAGTGTAAAAATTAATTACCTCCTATTGTCTAAGTTGTTCTCTGACTAAGCTGGCACAAATGTCGAGACGGAAATATTTTTGTTTACCGCTCATTTTGTATAATTATTTATCCTATCCCATATTACCCGCCATACCTATTCCATATTACCCGCCACTTTTTTTGACTACACAAAAGTTCATATTTCTCTACATTCTTTTATAACTTCATAATCTTTCTAGATATCTAATTCTTACAGGAGACTCTTTTAAACAATATTACTGGCTATTTATTTCCAAAATTTGAGATGAAAAAATTTGAAAAAAAAAACATTACTTATTCAATTTCTATAGAAAAATAAAAATGGTATTCCATATTACCCGAAATTACTCTAAACATATCAATATTCTAATATAAAACTTACTGTTCATCTTTCCACCATGGAAGTCCATCTAACGGTTTCCACCCAGTGGCCGGTACTTCTACCGGTACATCCGGTAATGGTCCATGAGGACAATAAGGCACCTTAACTCCCGTTTCGGGGTGAATATAGTGCTGAATATCGCCCGTTTTTTCGTCAAACCAATGACCAATGTCCTTGCCGGCCATCGCCAGAAGCGGCATGATACATTTCTCACCTACATATTGTCTTATTAGCTGCGTTATGTCAAAGACTTTGCCCAAAAATGAAACCCAGCAATCTTCTGGCGTATTGTGAATAACCACTTCGAATGGAGCAAATATCGGCCATATCTTCGGGTCGGGTTTCATATTAAATTAAATTATTCTAATATTATGACATAATATGCTACTTCTTGACAAATAATAATTACTTATCAGTCATTTCAAAAAATAACTATATACAGGGTACTACAAATTCGATATACGAACATTGGTATCTCGTTAACCGTAATAGATACGAAGATGGTTAAATTGGGGCAAAGTTGCGCTTTGGGATGCCCACTAAGATGCCATCAAAAAAGTTTTAAAAATTTCAAGGATCGCCAAGTTTGTTTTTTCCTGTCGTTAGGTACCTTTTAGAAAATCAAAAACACAATTGCCCATTCTCATAGACACTTTATTAGGGCTATCTGATAGTATTTTTGGATTTTTAAACTAGCTGATAATTTGTGAGATACAGAGGCCAACTTATTTTTTTTAAACACGGACCTGCATTTTTTATTTTAGATTTTGAAAGAACTCGGTCTCCTCAGTACAATGATATGCCACACTTAATATTATTTTTTGCTTCGGCCATTTGAACACAATTTATTTAAACTAATTTCAAGTCCGGCTCTGTTTTTTTAAATATTTAATCTATTCATCGTTACATTATTGATAAGCTTTCAAACTTAACAACGACGTGAGGTAAAACATTGAATACGAAAAATCAAATGCAATAATATAATAAAAAATAATATAAATATATCAATCAAATAATTTCCCTTGAAGATAGATTGGAAATGATAAAGCAATATAATGACCAGCGAGGTTCCTGGACCTGTCGCCAAGGGGCAGGGTACATTACTTGATGTCATTTGTAAAAGTGAAATCAATACATATCAACATTAACAATAAAGAGTACAAAATGCATTCGAAAGTATAAGAAGAAAGTTCAAAGAGCTATAAATAAAATTGAACGGGAAATAAATTTATGCAAATGCACTCTTTCGAACATGTAGAGCATTAAAAACTAATTTGTAAAAGTTTGTTTATTTATAATAATTACGGTTAATATTATGTATATTATTAGGTTGCACAATGAGAATTCAAATTCACAATAAAAAAGTGAAAAATAATATCTTTAAATTCCCGACCTGAATGTTATTTATTTGAATCTTCCAATTGACTCGATTTTCCTTATTCAATGTTAATTAGCGCTGATCAATATTGTTGCAATAGATATAATCAGATTAAATTAAAAAAAAACAGAGTAGAACTTGAAATTATTCAAAATAAAATAATAATTAAATAGTTTGTTGTTAAGGTACCCAAAACAAAAAAAAAGTATAAAGTGTGGCATATCATAGTACTGAGGAGACCGACTTCTTTCAAAATCTGAAATATAAAATGCAGGTCCGTATTTAAAAAAAATAAGTTGGCCTCTGTATCTCACAAATTATCAGCTAGTTTAAAAATTCAAAAAATATTATCAGATAATCCTAATAAAGTGGCTATGAGAATGTGCAATTATTTTTTTGATTTTCTAAAAACTAACGACAGGAAAAAATAAAATTGCTTTTCAAAAAAATCCGTTTTTTCCAAAAAACTCAGCAATTCTTGAAATTATTAAAACTTTTTTGATGGCATCTTGGGGAACATATCAAAGGGCAACTTTATCCCATTTTAATCATGTTCGTATCTATTACGTTTTTTTTTCATAACAAGGGGCCGTGCTCTGCCGGAAACACTGCGACCTGTGAGGCCTATTGTGTTTGTCCCCCTTCTATATCTGCACCCATTCTCCTATCCCTGTGCCCTCATTAGCTTATGCAGGTCCTTGATAGGATGGGAGCATAGTTCCTCCGGTTCTAGCCTAGCTTTCCCAAATAAAAAGTATCGCTTGCGATCCAGAGCCTCGCAAAGACTGACTTATCGCAGAGTCTGCAGTAAAGACTTCCTTGATACAGGTAACACTTGACAGCCATGTGTCCTGTCAAGAGGCCTGTTGTAATCCGCACTTTACTCCTGCTAAGCATTAGCAGTTCTTTTGGGGTTTTATTGCTAAGTCCTTGGATAAAAGCCTTGCTGTGCCTGTACCCCTGTCTGTTTCTCCAATGGACATTGTGCTTTTCCCTGATCCAGAGTTTTAGTGCACATTTGGGTATTCCCAGTACTGGCTCTGGACCAAGATAAGTTGCCGATGATCCCTGCCTAGCTAGCTCATCGGCTTTTTCGTTGCCTAGGATGGCGCTGTGGCCCGGCACCCAGAATAATTTAATTATGTTCCTTCGTGCCAGAGCTCCCAATTCACCCAGGCATTCCCAGACGAGTCTCGACGATACCTTTGGGTTCATAAGCGCCCCAAGTGCCGCTTGACTGTCTGAGCGTATATTGATGAGCTTACCTGAATAAGCTCTTCTATTGTTTTCTCTTGCACATTGTAGAATGGCGAAGATTTCTGTCTGGAATACGGTTGAGTGTTTACCCAAAAAAAAGGATAAGCTTGCCCTTGGTTTTTCCCCAAATACTCCAGCTCCTGTTCCTTCAGCGGTCTTTGACCCGTCTGTATACCAGGTTAGTCCATCCTGAAGGAATGTTATATCTGTCCACATTCCTCGATCCATTTTGTTCACCTCGAATGGTTTGTGGTAGTGATAAAGAGGGGTCAGTTGGTCCGATCTCATTTGGAGTAGATCCTCCGATAGAATCTCCTATCTTTAAGTGTCCTGTGTCTGTCCTATTTCCCAGTGACAAGACACTTTGTTGTCGATAGAGTCCCATTCTTGCCTCCGCCTGGATCACTATGTGAAGAGGCGGAAGGTCCAGAAGCGCCTCCATTGATGCAGTGGGCGTTGATTTTATTGCCCCTGTTATGCTCAGACAAGCAACTCTTTGCACCTTACTAAGGTTGAGCATTGTTGTTTGTTGCATTACCTTAGGCCACCATACCAAGGATGCATATGTTACTGAAGGCCTCACCACTCCAGTGTACAGCCAGTGCACCATCTGTGATCTGAGGCCCCAGATTTTTCTATGAAGTCGTCTGACTACCGCTAGTGTAGTCACCGCCCTCCTTGTGACATTTTCCAAATGTCGGTTCCAGGTCAGTTTATCTATTACGGTTACCGAGATACCAATGCTCGTACCTTGAATTTGTAGCACCCTGTATACTTCGTTTTTTAGGGGACGATTGATATGGTTTACAGATTGGTATTTTCCCTTAGGACCTACGACATCAAACCCATGAGAAAAATTGTTCAGCAAAATCAACGCCATATTTTAGTTCAGGGAGTAGAAAGTATAAGGCTCGATTTAGAAGCTGAAAATCTGTTATATATTTCTTGATCTCATGGGTGTATATGAGGAGGGACAATGACAGCAATTACTACTCCCAAAGAGAAATTTATAAGTAAGATAAAATGTTGTATAAAATAAAAATTAATAATACCAATCAAAATAGAAAATGCATACTAATCCAGGTTTATTTTTTTCCACAGTCACAATACCTTTCGGCGAAAATTTAATTTCGCCGAAATCTAGTGCTTTATTTAAGTAATATTGGCAGTACCCCTTCCAGACTCAATTTCTAGAAACAGAACTGCTTGGTCTACACAAGGTAAACCAAACCACACCAAACTAAATGTTTGAAAGTAAGACAGAGGTGATTCACTAATAAAAGACCTAACCTAACCTAAACTAAACTAACCATCTTATATTCTACATAATGATAAGAGTAATATCATTGTGTAGAATATAAGATGGTTACCTAGTTTAAAATTCATAGTAAAGCGTAATAAGAGTATAATAGGAGTATATCTTGATAAAATACTTAAGATTTAAAAATAATATCTCCAAAAAGATCTTTATTCTTAATTTAGATCTTAAATCTGATATACTACCTCCGTTTCTTTTTTTGTAATTTTAGGTATCCGAATAAATTCCGCTAAGCTTTATCCAAGTCAGCTTTTAGCAAAACGACCTCATATTTCGACCGAATGTGTCGCGACCGAGCAATTTTTTACATATTTTGATTCGAATATCACAGACGAAAAGTTAAATTGAGAATGGCTATTAATATTCGCGTTTATAAAAAGTCGGTTTCTTTAACTCGCAAACCTATTTTTACAGGCTACGATTGTGAATAAGCTTATTTCTTTATTTTTTTATTGGCGAATACCTGGCGCAGTTTTATTAATGATATGTTTGAGGTATCGAACGCAATAAAAATTTTCATACAAAAATCAGGGATAATTTTTGAATATTTGACGGATGGATCGAATATTTTGCTGTTTCTCAATATTTAACATAATTTCTATATTTAAAGGCTACAAAGTCGTTAAGTTCTCCACATGTTATTATTTCAACGTTTTAATCGACTACAAATGTTTCTATAGAGTGAGGAAAAAAGATGAAATTATTCGCATAGAAATTTTTCACGCAATGGATACTCATAAAATGTATTATTGAAGTGAAACTTCTTAACGCACACTAGGAGTAAAAATTCAAAACATGACACGACACGACACAAGAGGAAACGAGAGGACACGAGAGGAAAAGTGAAAAGGACAGCCTACGGCTTAGAAAAAAAGTTGAGATGGGTTTTTGAAGCGTAATAATTCGGGCTCTCTGTGAGCTAGAGAGCTGAAACTTGGAATGTAGATGGGGCTCAAAGAGTCCCATCTTTTCATAATATTGTTACGGATTCCGTGGGTCCACTAATTTAAACTCACAATAAAATACTTAACGAATTTATTCCTCACTTTTAATATACCGAGTGCGTCTCAAAAGTGGCTCACCCATATAACTGTTATATTTTTTCAGATAAAAAAACGAGATTTGGTATGTTAGTATATGACACAAATTAGGATTTATTGACGTATTCAATTCTTTTCGGTCACTTCCTGTTTCACCGGAAATGACTACAACTTTTGATTTTTAAATGGCACCCTCGGTATTTTTTTACTTTATTCGATAAAAAATGACATTTTGAATAGAATGACATATCATATGTCAACTTTTCTATCAAGATTCGACTATCTAACTAATTACTATCTATGAAGATTCTGGTTGTCATGTCTGGCAGTTCTAAAAGTATTTTTCTTTCAATAAAAGGAGCCGTCTTACTCTTGGGTCTGCTTTTCTATGATCCCG